TTTAGTATATTACTTGTGTGGTGTAGAAGAGAATTATCTATGTAGAGATACTGCTTGCAAACCAATGATGGTAAGATCATGTTATGGGGTAGGACTGGATAAGTCTGACTTCTTCCTACTCCGTTCAAGCATGTACTAGGTATAAGCAAATTGATAAGGGATTAGCATTTGTGGATATGTGTGAAATTATGTGTGTTGACATATCGACTATCTTTACATGCTTGAAAGAATAAAATCAATCAATCAATCAATCAATCCCATTATCTGCTATTTAAAACAATTACATGTGAAAAATGGTTCATACAACAGAAGAAGAAGCATTTACTTTTGTTTTGCCAGACTGAAACATTCTTGCTTTGTTTGCTTTGTTTGCTTTGTTTGCTGTGCTGACCTTCAAACTTGGTCTTCAGGATGAACTCCTTGTAGAATCTTTTGCCATTACCTGGTTTCATGGCATCACAGACCTTGGATGTGTTGGAGCATACAGCTTGCCTCATGTTGTGCAGAGCATAGGCCATAGCATAGACTGCATTTACCACAAACATGATCTTGGACTCCGGTTCAAAAGTTCCATCTCTCAGGCTGCGTTCACTGCAGTCATGTTGCTGGAGGCTGCAGCCAAACCGGTGTTCCCAGAACTCTTTGAACCATGGGTTCCTTGTGTTGGTGTATGGGTTCAGCTTGGTGAAGTAGTCTTCAAACTCTCTGATTGGGTATGAGGCCAGCTCTATGGTGAAAGCCCCATCTGCTGCAGTCTCACTGGCCCTCACCACACTCTCTTGTGCTCCCCACCCATCACTGGCCACCCAGGTGAAAGTAACATTCATGCGAGTGGCTGCCGACAGCAACTCACGGGCATCTTCACTGCGGGTGAACAGGATGACCACCTTGGCATTGGATTTCTGTTGCAAGGAGCGGATCACATTCTCATAGCCCTGGCGGTTCATAGACCTGCTCACCTTGGCTGAGGTGGCAATGCAGATTTGGCGAGTGCGGGCTTCCTGCTGGAAGGCATCAATGCCAGTCTCACCATAGTCACCTTCCGATGCTACTGTCGATACATAGGTCCAGTTGAAGTAACGTAGGATCTCTGCCATAGCCTTGGCCTGGTAGAAGTCAGGGGGCACAGTGCGGGCAAAGTAATCATAGCGGGTCTTATCACTGAGCTTTGCACTGGTGGAGGCATAGCTGATCTGAGGGATCTGGAACAGTCGCAAGAGGTTGGCCACCTGGGAAATGAGAAGGAAACTTATAAACTTCATCTCACAAGATTAATATATATTTTTCTTTTACTAGATAAGTGACCACAAATCAGAAAAAAGGAAAGGTATGTAAAATAAAACTTAAAATAGTGATTGTAAAATTGGGACAGTTGTATTTCAAGGCTAGTAATGCGGTAAAACAATGAAATGATGATTCCATTTGAAACAGGTGATGTCAGCAGTTGATTGCAATTATTATTGGGTACAAAAGTGGCATCCAGGAAAGGCAGAGACCTTAAAAAGCAAAGATGGACCAATCCCTCAGATGCCACAGCATCAAGAATCATCATGACAACATGGGCTCAGGATTACTTTGGCACACCTGTGTCAGGCACTACAATACATAGTTACATTCATAAATGCTGATTAAAACTGTACTGTCAACAGTGTACAGAAGTGCAGTTAACTGCTCTGGGCTCCGAGGCATCTGGGGTGGAAATGTGTACTATGGTCAGATGAAGCAGTATTTCAGGTCTTTTTGGAAGGAACTGACGCCATGTGCTCCGGACCGAAGACGGAAAGGACCATCTAGACTGTTACCAACAAGACCAATAGCCAGGGTCTTTCATGGTCTGGGGTTGTGTCAGTGCCCTAGGCAAAGGTAACTTACATTTCTGTGATGGCGCCATTACTGGTGAAAATTACAGAGAGATGTTGGAGCAACATGTGCATGAAAATTACAGAGAGATGTTTGAGCAACATGTGCTGCCTTCAAGGTGACATCTTTTCCAGGGAGGCCCATGCATATTTCAGCAAGACAGTGCTAAACCTCATAGTGCACACATTACCGAGGCCTGGCTGCGGAGGAAAAGGGGGCGAGTGCTGGACTGTCTGCCTGCAGTCCCGATCTGTCCCCAGTAGAGAACGTGTGGTGCATTTTGAAACACAAATTGCATCAACAAAGAATCTGGACTGTTGGCAACATCACACCGTGGCACATGCTTTACTGTCCCACCTTTTTTTGGAATGCGTTGCAGGAATCAGAGTTGAAGTGAGTGTTTTTTCTGAACAAAGAATAAAGTTGATGAGGTATCACACCAAATAATGTGCTGCTGTATTGTTTTCAGTGTAGTACAGGATGCAGATGATTTACACATCACTACTTTGTTTTAATTTTGATTTTACATACTGTCCCACCCAACTTTTTCTGATTTGGGGTTGTAAGAGGGAGTAGGAATCATGGGAGAAGAGGGCAAATATAAAAGGCTATTATATAAATATTGATTAGAGGTACTTTAACTTATCTAGATTGATAGACAGTAGTTGCAGATGCTTGTAGCAAGCATAAAATGCTTCAGTGTTACAATATTATTCAGGTTTAAATGGCACCTATGATAGCTGGACAGTTTTGAGACCAGCAAGTTAATATTGTGGTAAGTCTTTAAAATCAACTTTTCCAACAAAGTGCTGTAGTACATTTCTAGTGTGTGCTTTTTCCCCAATTTTGAGTCTCTTTGCTTTTAACTTGTAAATATCCATCTGGTCTTTAGGTGAAGTGGAGCCATTCAAGCACAGAACTGTTGTTAGGTGTGCTTCAGCTTTGTGGCAAAGAAGTGGAAAACAAAGTCAAGATATTTAAAAAAAAATAAAAATTCTGTGTTGCTCTATCTTTAACTGTTTACTTTGTGAGGGATCCACACTAGCAGCTAGTGCCACAAATCCCTTCACAGATAATGCTTGATAACGCCTGTAACAGTGGCACAGAGATAAAAATTTTATCAATGTTTTTTTTTTTTTTTTTTGCCTTTTTCCAGGGTTAGAGCCATTTTGTCAAGTCATTTAAGTCATTCTGTCAAGTCAGGACAGATTCTGCTAGAGGTTATGAAGCCCATCTAACCCAGATACATATATTGATTTCCTTGTGGAGGTGATAGTCAGTGGTGCTGAATTCAAATGGCTGATGACGATCCCTGACCGAAAAATCACTGAGGCATCCATAATGGACACAAATCTGGTGCAATGATTGTGTCAGTCCTAACATAAAATCATAGCAATTATTTTCTCACACAGCATTAGAGAGCTAACTGTAACAGAAAGCTGGTGAAAACTTGTCATTTTGCAGGATTCCTCATATGACACAATGGTTATTAGCAAATACCCATGAGCTTCACTATGAGTACCTCCTCCCTTAGGCATCATTGTATGCCTGGAGGCTTCCTAAACAATGGCTTTCCTATGAATGTAATTGGAACCTTTCACACTTACAGCTCACTCATTCCAACCCATGGGAATGTAGCTGTCAATCCTTTATGTGATATTATGAATCACATGCTGCATGGGCTACATTCTATATGTGCACTAGGATCACAGTTTTTTTAAATGCATGTGCCCTGAATATGTTACTCAACAGTCTTAGTTTGGCTCTATGGCCGTGTTCCTTGGTCTACTACGTATCTTAAAATCACCAACATCAGGTCAAATTTTTATTTGTAAAATATCTTGGATTTCTACCCAAGCTAATTATTAGCCCATCAGCTTTGTGTAAAGTGCTAAGTATGGTAGCATGCTAGCAAACTCTTAAGTGAAATATTCAGCATATAAATGCTATTTTTAATTTTAAAAAATATGGAGCAGAATCTAACAAATATACACTGTATGATACACCGTTTGATTCAAACAAAAATCCTATTCAAAAACAGATAAAATAGTAACAATGTCTTATAGTGCTAAAACAACCATGACCATACATACAGTATTGTATCTGCTAAGAGCATGTTAACATAATGCATGATGATGATTTAGTTCATAGCAAATCTACTCTCTTTGGCTCTTTGTCAGACTTTTTACTTCCTTCAAGAGTTTTCATATATTACTCTCCTGATGCGCAATCCTTTCCTTGGGACTCCTGGCCTGCCTAAATATAAAGTGAAACATCTGTAAACAAATATTACTGGCCCGGGACAAAACAAGACTATTTGGCATTGTAAATGCAATGTAAACACACTCTGTTTTGCCTCAAAAAATACTGGCATTAGCCCTGATCTGTAAGTGCCTATTTGTTTAACCTCCTGCAGCTAAAACACCAAAAAGACGAGAGCCAACAAAAAATTCAGGCACATAACAAGCTCTTGAAGGGATGAATGAAGTAAATATGATGTACTTAGACGTTACACTGTGCCCAGCAATAGTTCTCTCGACTGTTCCTAGTAGAATACAGGACAGAGGTCTCATCATATTAGCTCACTGGGGGATGTGGTTTTTGCTGTTAATGTATGAAGAAGCCTGATTTGATCTACTGACTGTATGTTGCCTGGGATATACCGTAGAGTATGCAGTGTTCTGTATGCAGTAACAGACTAGCATACACTATGAGCTACACTCAGTCACAGTTGCATAGTAATAAGGTAGTTTCCTCTTGCAGTGTTTTGAGACAGGCAGTTGGCCTTTATCAACAGATTCCTGGCAAAGCTTGACAGCACACCTTTCAGGGTGGCACTGGAGTGTGTGACAGTAACCGTCTGTTCATCCTTATGCAGTGTTTCCCTTTCACTCTCTCCATCAACAAGTCAGATGAGGACACACACAAGGAATATCAGGAGAGCATCACACTGTAAACCTTCTCTCAGTACATGAGACTTCAAAATCTGATAATTTAAATTAGCAGCACAAGCGCTTTGCCAACTCTTTGACAGAGACTATTATATTTAAGATTGCCACCAGCTTTAAGCATAACCAACACACGCCTATGAGTCTAAACCGTACAATAACCTGAACCTGTGCCTTGTGAACACATGAGCCACTTTAGCTTGTGTGGATCACAACTAAAATAAAAAGCTGAGGCACCAATTGGATGATCATCATGGTCCACTTGATTAAAGTCCAAAAGTGGTCCCCAAATGTGGCACAGCTCAGACGACTGTAACAGTAGCGGCACACTTACACCACAGCCTCCCTGTATAAAGTAATCTCTTCAGATTTTAAAGTATCGTCTTGCATACATTTTCATATTAACTGAATAAAGTAATGTTTTTAAATATTAACACTCTTTTAATATGTAGAATTCATATGAATAGTGCCAATTTGTTGTGTGAGGACAGGCATAATTCTGGTTCTATTATTTAGGAGGTTCATTAATGAAAGTGATTGTTTTCTCTAATATTTCCTTATAAAGTAATAAGATATTATTAAAGTTACATTGAAGTAGTGTGTACCAGGTGCACCATGAGAAGCAGTATTATAGGATTTGAGATCTGTGTTCCTTCAAAAAAAGCAGAAGTATGGAGGAAACATATGCGAATACTGGAACATGGGCAGTCTGTCTTGCATCTGTCATGACTTTTTCAACAGGGAAAGTCCATCTGCATGTCCCCGCAGTCCGTGTCAAGCTGCGCCCTAAAGTAGATATGGCAGATGACATGCAGAGTGAAACTTCAGGATGAACTGTGCACCAACAAGCTAGTTACCAAAGGTCTAAAATAAATGTTATGCAAAATATATACAGTGCACATGGCTACTGGGCTTAATATGAGGTATTTGAACTGCAATAGTAAAGTGTGACCGGAAATTAAAGCAAAAACTAACTTACTGTACACATGTAATGACATGTGAGCAGGTTATGACTAAATGTGTGAGGTGACATGTTCCTTGATTATATTGCTTAGCATAGTTGCCAAACACACAATGTTACACCAGCGCATCAGTGGTTACATTCTGAGGCAAAGCATGGAGTTTAACAAATATAATCATTGTCACCTAAATGTGTTTCTTTTTATTGTAGTGTTTTCAAAATATCAACTAATTCCAATAAGATGCACAGATGGGAATAATTTATGTTCAATTGTGGAGATGAGAAATTGTTCACGTAGATGGGAAAGGCAACAAAAGGGGGGAAATAATAAAAATGCTGGTACAACTAACTCAGACTAAAATAAAACCAAAAACTTCCAATCTACATCCTTCTTTGTGAAGTGGTATCACTTCATATCTTTCATTGGTACTATGTTGAATCCAGTCACTAGAATATGAAT